CGGGTTTGGTGCGGCGGACAGGGATTGTGCGTCCCCCCCACGCCTTGCTGCCCTCCCGCCGGCTGCTGGCGCCATCCTCTCTCTCGGGATAAGCCTCCTCGTCCTAAAAACCGGTCCCTTCAGCCCCGCAAGAAGCAGTAGCGGCGGCGCCCAAGGACGTCGTGTTTTGCTTCCGCCCATCGCTGGGGTTGAAAACGCCTCCCAGCTGGCTGCAGAGATTTTGGGTCTGTTAAAGGACCCAAGGTGTTTCACACCTTTAGGGAAGCCACCTTGTAGTCTGCCGTTTGAATAGTTCCGTAGCACTTCGGGGGTCTAAAGTTATTTAGACTGTTAAATCTGTTAGACTGTTAAAATCTGTTAAAGGACCAAAGGTGTTTCACACCTTTATTGAAGCCACCTTTTAGTCTACCGTTTGAATAGTTCCGTGGCACTTCTGGGGTCTAAAGTTATTTGTGCAGTCTAAAGTTTTATTATCTTAAAACAAAACTTAGCGATTTTCTGCTTAGAATGTGGTTTATATTGATGGTTTTTCTAAAATTACTGTATGTAAAACCTAATGCACGTTTTTTTCTTTTGAATGTCCTTAATTTTACTGAAAAAATAAAAACCCAAAAAACAAGTTGAGACAGATCTCTATACCATTACTTACAAAAAAAAAAAACCACTTTAATCTTCAGAGGGTATTACAAGACTCCCGTTATGTTCAGCTGGAGAGGGGAAGGTTTGAAAGGAAAATACACCAACAGGACACCATTCGTTATACCTACGGATGCATTTGTGCATTGCACATGTTTCATTAAGTGGTTTGTTTTAAAGCTCGAGAGGTATGGTTTCTGAAAGGTGATTGAAATTGCAAAGTATGTGTGCAAAATAGGATGTGTGCTAGTTAAATAGGAGGGAAAATGAAACAAAAGGCTTGATCTATAATTTTCTTAGTTTTTGATGTTAATGTTCTGGTTCAGGAGCTGCATCTGTTTCTACCAAGCGCAGACAGGGCCTAGCAATTTCAACGTAAGAAACATTTTGTTACTCCTGTAAAAGAGAGGAAGAAACAGAAGAAATTTTAGGTGATGAGAAAACTTAAAGGAGTAAGTGGCTCCCCCTGCTGTTAATCGTTGTACAGCAAGTGTAGCTCAGTAAATGACGAGAGCTGTTAATTGCCAAATATTAGCCTGTACGTAATGACAACAAAAAAACCAGTAATTTATCTGAAGATGTTTTAAATTTTATTACATCAAGTCTATATTAGTTATTTGGTTCTATATACCAAATAATAAAACCACGTGGGGTTGTTTTGAAACAAATTAGAAGATTGGCTGAATACCAGAAAAATGTGCTCCTGACTGTAGCGAGACACACCAAAAACCACCAGAAAGGTCAGCCAAGAGGCTGAGTTTCTTTGTGTTTGATGAAAAATCTTAGAGTGCGAAGCAAGAGCTGAATTCATGTAGCAGACCTGTTGTGCCGTGATGCTGAGACCTTGAGATTCTGAAGATCTCTTTCAGCATTAGACCTTTCAGTTTTGTAAGTAAGAGCAGCCACTTCTTACTGCATTCCCTCACAGAGCTTCATGGCAGCAAAGGAGAAAAAAACAGAAACCCCAGAGTGTTTGGAGCCAATTTAGTGCCTGATTTATGTTGAAAAAGAAGGGGGAATGTCTGGAATGCTATGGCAAGCAAGAGAGTCCAGGAGTTAAATTTGAACTTTGATCTTTAAATTAAATTTGACCAAGGTATTAATGGTCAGTGTGTTGGGTTTTAGTGAACTTAGTGGTAGATCTCATGTATCTCAATGATAAATTTCACTGTGAGCAGCACAACCAAAATAGAATTTGGATTAAATAACCAGATTTATATATAATTAGAAAACTCAGGGTTGCTTGTTTCATTGCTGGTACTGTAAATCCTCCACTGTATTCATAATCTGAGGCTGCTAGCAAAAGCCAGTCCCTGCTTAGGCTTCAAATCACTTACGGTTTAATTACACCGAAAGGACATACAGAGCGTGAGTGAAAAATAATGCAGGAGTGCTTTTCCATGCGTGATCCTGTTGATATTTTTGGCAAGGGAAGGGTGTGTGCTGTAACTTGCAGCTGATGCATATTCTGTGAACTTGTTCCATGTGCAGTGTCTCTTGCTCAGTTTGTTCCCTCCCTGGTTTTGTTCAGATTGCAAACATTTAGTTAGGCAGCCTGACTCTTAGAAAGTCTGCAATATAGAAGGTATATAACTGTGTGTATGAATGCATTTTTGCACAAATAAATTCACATACTATAGTAGTGCTAGACTTACCTTGCCAGAGACATCTGTGTTAGCGAACTAAAAATATGCCGAATCGAGCTGGGACTCAGAATTTTAAGTCCCTCTTGTTGCTCTTCAATGGAAACTTTCATGCTAGTAGTTCTATGAAGCTTAGATCTTACAAAAGAAAATCACTCAGGCAGACCTCTAAAATCCTCCTCTTCAGCATCCTAAATCATCCTATTTCATTCTGCCTGAAGGATCAGGAATGAGCAAAGGGTAGGAGGTTGTCCCTCCTTCTGCTCTCAGAAATAAAGGATGCATTAGACACGTTCAGTCAAGGTTAGCCTTCAGCTTTTAAGGTCAGGAAGCTGAAATGGTTCAGAGCTCTTGAACAGATTTTGTCAGCAAAGAAGAATGTTAAGGACTCCAGCTTGCTGGCAGATATTTATGGAGCTCCTGGAGTGTTTAGCAGACATTCATTATTTGGAAGGCTTGCATAAATAAAAAAGGTATTGCTTTCATAGTAAAATGAATGTAACAAAGACAACTTAGAACTCAAAAGAAGCAGAGCCAAGGCCTGCGCGAAGGACACTTGAAATGAAACACAGGATACCAGCATATCTCATACCAGGGTGGGAGGGTGCACATGGTAGTGTGGTGATCCTGCTGGGCTCAGGACCGAAGGAGCAAAAGTTTGCATAGAGCTTTTTAATATATTTTGCAAAAGGATGCAGTCCTTTGGTCATCATTAATACCAGTTACACAACCTGTGAGGAAAATGCAAAAGGAAAATTAATTTTGGTACCTTTTATTTTTTTTTCCACATTTGACAAATGTGTGGTTGGTAATCCTGTATTTCTCATGGAAAACTTCATATTTATTTATGTCTTGCTAGTACAGTGGGTCTGTGATGTGGTTGGGATGAATTTGAAGGGATGAATTTGTGGCATTTCTAGGAGGAAAGTGAGTTTTGCATGTGATAAAAGGAACATATATTTACAGTGCCAAATCAGTGTATCCAATTAACTTTGTTATAATAATATGTGGTTGGTTGGGGTTTTTTTGAACCCTGTGAATGAATAGGATATGTTTAGTTAATTCCCAAAAGACAGTCTCTCATGTCAGAGGTGGTTAATGTCATATGTACTTTTGTTCTTAATTATCTGGTAGATTATGTGAGGAAGTGTTTTTCTTTGTTTCTTTGGCTTATGTTGTATTATTTGTAAAAGCATAATCATCTCGGTGATCTCTTCTGTTAAAGTTAGCAAATGCTGATCTGGTTGTGGACACTAAACTTAGTGGTGCCATAGGGAATGACTAGTGTTGGTTAGGGAATACATCAGGATGCACATTTCTGTAGGTGCCCTCAGCTGACTGAGCAAAAATGTGACTGAAAGTCATAGGGTGAAGAAGGGAATGACACAGGAATATATAGGCAGAAAGGATAAGTGGTGTAATAGGTGATAAATGAACAATGACCTGAGTAAATGGTTCTCCCATCCTAGGAAAATTGTTGCCTTTTGTGTTCAAATTTTAATTAATTCAACAAGATGAGAAAAGCTGTGAATATAGTTGTGTAAGATGAAATCCTTGTCCCCACTACCACCGAGGCAGGACAGGAGGAATAGGAAGAATGCAAGGAACTTGGCAAGTTCTAAATTTGTTTAAAGTACCATGGAGCACAGCCAGAAACTTGTGAAGTTCCTCTTGTTGGGGGAGAGGGTAGCCTGTTGTGAATGGCTCATTCCCGGTGCCTGCAGTAGGTGCTGCTGCTGCTGCCCATAGGGAAACTCAGAAACAATGCTCCAGGCCAGACAGCTCTGAAGAATTCTCTGGATTATGTTAGAGACACTCCTGCCTTGGGAACTTCTCAAAGTCAGAAGGCTCAAAGCTGTGCTGTGCTTTTCCCAAGCTGTGAGCTCCTCTTTCACCTCCAAGGGAAGTGTTCCTTCGGTTGGGTTTCTAATACTGCTTCCACAAAGCAGGCTGAGTAAAGCCTATCAAGAATACAAGCGCCACATAATATAAAGTAGCAATTGCAAAACTATGGCTATCAGTCTATAGTATTAGGTAATACTGCAGATAAGTATTAATCTTATTATTTATAGATCACATTTCTCATAAAGAGAAGTCTTTGGAACTACTAGGAAGGCATTCTAGCAGTATATTGAAATACTGAGAAGTTATAGTGAAATCGCTGTTGCAGTACAGGTTGAAAATTTTAAATTCCTTCTGGCTTTTTGTTAGTAGGATCAAATATATCAGAGTCTCTTTAGGCATAGTCTTTGTGTTTAAAAAATAGACCTCATTTTTGCCCTTACTGAAGGGCCTACTTTTATGTCAAAATATAAATAATATGCAGGACATTTACCTGAAGATTTAAATCTGTTTTTATATAAACAGATCACATTTACTGCTTGGCCACATCATGCAAAAACTTACCCAAAGTTTTTGGTTAAAATAATTTTCCATTGTTTTGCAGTCATCCAACTCACTGAAAGCATCTTATGAAGACTGGCTGCTGACATACGGCTTGAGCGTCTCTCCTTTCCACATGAGGTGGCAAACAGCTCTCTTCAACCGCCAGTTCTACAACTGGGGGAGATGGAAACCCAGATTTCTCTATTTGTGGTATAAATTCAGGATTTTTTTTTTCTCTCAAATACAGAGGCAACAACTTGGCCACATCTGTGCCTTTCAGCCTTAAAACTGCAATAGGTAGACATGGTTATTTCACTAGGCTAATGATAACACCAAACTAGTGTGGTTGTGATAATTGTACTGTGCCAGTGTAAGTCTTTCTTCTCTGCCAAAAAATACGTTGCTGTAATATAGGTTGCATATTGAGATGCTATAAAACTAGGGATCTGTGAACTTTTTTTACCTATGGTTTGAACTCTACATAGTTCTTAAGAGTAGAGCTATCACATGTGATACTGCATACAGAAGTAGGACTGCAAGCAGCTTGTCATATCCTACGTCTGTCCAGCTGTAAACTGAGTTCTGTACACTGATCACTAGAGTTTACAAAGTATTCAAAGACAGTTGTGTCAGTGTTGTAGATCATTGGCCAGGCATTCAACAACTGTATGTGTTCAGAAGCGCATTGCTCACCTTATGTCTTTTATCTGCTAGCACCTTTCCCTGCTAAGATTGCACAGGCTGCTGGGAATGGGTAAATAAGCAGGCTGTTTAGTATTGGTGCTCCTGGACTGGTTTAGAAATTTACTGCTCAGTTGCCTTCCTAGCATTACTTCATATTTGCTCTGAAAATATGAGTAAGGTTTGACTTTTTTTCCTTTCCTGTATTGCTACCCTCAGTAAGACAGTAATAAAAGAGAGGTCTGCTTCATATTGGTAATGATCTTACTCTTTCGGTTTGAAATAGTTCTACATCAATCAAAATTTTTTAATTTGTATGATTTATTACAGTATAATGTTTCCACCAGTCTCTTTAATTAAGATTACAAGTACATGCTGCTTAAAATACATCTATTAATTCCCAGAGAGCTTCATTAAGGATGGTATTGTGAGAGAAAGAAGGACTGGTAGTGAATTGTTTTACGTAGAAAATAAATTTTATCACATCCTTCAACTATTGGACAGTGTAAAATAATAATAATAATAATGCTGAATAAAAGTTCACCACTAGGTGGACTGACATAAATTGGAATTATTATCATTACTGATTTTAATGAAAATTAAATTGGTAAGAAGCACAATGTGGTTTAAGTAATTGATTTTAATCTGGTCTTGCAGTTGTACCTTTTAGTTCTTTTTAAAGAGTTGAGTCTCATTTATTGTTCTTTAGCACTTTTCATTGTTTGTGAGGAAGGTGCAAAATTTATTGGAAAGATATATAAAGCAATATGTATGGTACTCCGTCATTTGATCCAGGTCTCTAAATGTGTGATGGTGTGGTGCAACAAGGTAAATTATACATCGTTAGTTGTGTTTTCATATTCATAGCTAGTGGCAAGTTACATGTATTGGGTAACTGAATAAAATTTAGAATGTGTAAAACCAACATTAAAATACTTAAAATACTTAAAATGAACCAGGATGTTGTTTGGATGTAAAACACTTATTAGACACAGAAAATATTATATGTTATTAGTCAACGTTGTTAGCATGTGTTTGCTATTGTTACTGATTTCCTTTAGCTAATGTTTTTGAACACGAGTTGTAGTAGCATCAGAGAGGTTTTGCCCTGTGAGTTTGGTGTGCTAAATTGCACTGAAGCAGCCACACACCCGGAGAATATTCCCTATCTTTGTGCGGCTACGCACTGCTGAACTATTTGCTTCTCTCTGTAGGTTCAGCATAGGAATGGTGTTTGGTATAGTTGCCATGTTTGGCTCTGTTATCCTTCTCGGAAAGACACTGATGCAGACACTGACACAGATGCTCACCGAGGCACCGAAAGCTCAGAATGATCGTATGCTGCAAGTTGTGGTAAGTGTTCTCTCCTCGGGTCTTAATTTGGAAGTTGCGAACTGATATTAACCAGATTCTTAATGGGGTATGTGATGCTTAAATCCTCCCATGTGAGAATAACCTAACTCCTGATATTCGCCTACATAAAAGTTTACTGGTTTATTACCAGCCTCAAAAATGGGGAGTAGAGGGGTAAAAGAGGGGAAGACAAATGAAGGCATAAATTAAAACAGTACACTGAATTTCAAGTGCTTTTTTTTTTTTTTTTTGAAGGTTAAATTGCCATATGTAGACTGCCAAAACTTGAACAATGGACAAAAGTTACCCTTTTTTTTGACCTTGTAAATTTTGTATCATCTTGTCATTTGGATAGGGAGAGAGAAGGGAGGCTGGCTGTTCCAGTTGTAGGCTCTTTTTTTTTTTAACTTTTATAGCTCACAGTGTTTTAAGTGCCATACAGTTGTTTTTTAAATGTTTTTTTGAAGGGTGGATCTTCTCTATAGCTACATGACTGGCTGCAGGAAGTTCTAAACTAATGCTCACAGTTGCCAAGCCTGTCTCATTTGAGTGGAAGTCTGTGTACACTTTTATAAACTTCTAGAGCTTAATATAGAGTAGGACACATTTAGTCAGGGCTCTGGGGAATAACTGGGGCAGGGAGAAGGCTTTTGTCCCTGGAGAGCTTTTCAACCTTCAGAAAAAAAAAAAAAAAAGAATATATATTTAATATATTTTAAAATGCCTTGAATAAACAGGGACAAGAGGTACAAACTGATAGTGAGAATGGTCCCCATTCTGTTGCGGCTCTGAAGAACCTGAGTGAGAGCAACAAGTTTAGGGGTAGAATGATTTGTGTTTGTACCTCTTGATTTCTTTGTGTGTTTTATTTCGTTGTCATGTCCACATAAACAGGTGCCTGGTGTAAATTTGCCTGTCAGCCAGCTGACCTATTTCTTCTCTGCAATCCTCATCAGTGGTGTGATACATGAAATCGGCCATGGGGTGGCAGCTATTCGGTAATATAAATGACTTTTCTCTTACTCTGTACCAACAAAGCCTGATATTCCAGAGCACGCACGTAGGTTAATGGTGTTAGCACCTTCGGCTTATCTAGAGAGCCTCTTTATTCTGTATTTCCTGGCTTCCTTAGGTTTTAAATTTGGAAGGGTGTACAATTAAGGATAGGGTTTTAATACAGTGTCTTTTCTACAGCTCATGAGAAAGGACTTCTACTTTGCACGTATACCACACTGCATCAGGTTTAAAATAATACTTCTTTTAAGTGGCCCTGTTTTTCACATGGCAATCACATTTCTGCAGCTGTGGCACTTGAAGAGGACCTATGAGCTATTGCACAATGGTACTTCAAAATAGATTATAAATTGATTTGTTTAAACATAGTTTGTGAAGTAGCATGCGAACAGGCTGAAGCAGTAACTCAGTCAAATGTGATTTTCCCCTGTTAATCTCAGTGATGTGTTAATTTTGATGAAAGATGATATTTTTAATGTCACTTAACTATTATGATTGCTTCAAAAAAAGGTTATTTGACATAGTTAGTCATTACTGTTAAATGACACTCTAGCATAAGACGGTTAAGTGGTGGTTATTAGGACTGATATTCTGGTGTCCGCCACGTTTCTCCTGGACATCATCATTATGTGTCCCATGAGCATGAAGCCTTAAGTTGTTTCTCTGATTTTCTTGAGTGTAGAGAGCCATGATTGCATCTCAGCCCATTATTACCTTTTTTATAACCTCGGCAGTTCTCAATTAAAGGAGTGCTTTGGGATCCTCTCTGTTTCATATACTCTGATGGTCTTCCAGCTTTTTTCCCCCCTAATGTTTACAGGGATTTTTCTGTGGAGGATCAAGCTCTTGCTTATCCCACCACAGGAAGAAGCAAAAAAATTTCCTTTCCCTTACAGTGCCTTCATATGCTGCTGGCTAACTGCAGAGAAGCCAGGAGTAACTACAGAGCTCTTTTTAACCACAATGAGTAATTCTTATACCTTACTGGAGTGATATCTTCATTCAAAATCTGGAGTGGAGGCTCTGAATATTCAAGTTTGGGTTATGTTTTTATCAAAAAAACTGATTCCTAGCCTTTTCAAGGGGAAAAATTAGTTTGTCCAATGTACATTGCTGTTCCTCCTGCTGTTTTCTGGTTGAGTTTGTTTGTTTGTTTGTTTGTTTTGGGGTTTTTTTGCCTCCTAGCACAGGTTGGGTCTATAGTGCTGTTAGGGTCAATCCTGAGGGTTTAGGCTTCACTAAATAGCTTTGTTGTAGAAAAATTTTAATATTCTGGCAAATGACTGACTCCCAGAAACCTAATACACTTTTGCCAACTTCAGTTCAAGATAGTATTGGCTGTGAACTACAAGATCTTAAAATATCTGAGCCTTAGCTTAGTCAAGGCTTGTGCTAAAAAAGCATTTTCTTCCCTTTGTACCTCCTACCCAAGTCATGAAAACATGTATAGGCATTAGACTGCCTATTACTGATTGGTAGCATGGGTAGGCCTGATGACTTAACTCCAGGGATTGAATGGATTACTTCATGCTTATTAATTTGGTATAATCCTGTGTCTTAATTTTATTGTATATGCAGAATAAATAAATAAATGTGAATAAATAAAATGCTATGCCCAGTGTACTTTCTCAGTGAAGATATGGGATTAGCTACTCTGTGCCTGGTTTGTCTTGGAATAATAATTGGAATGTAATTGTCTTGGAACATGATTGTCATGCCTCTACAAATCCCTTATGAAATTTCTAGCTTCATAAAACCTTTACATAGTTATTTCAAGAAGTGACATTTAGAAACAGCTGTAAAACCTCTGAAAAATATATATATTATCTGTATGACAGTGTCAGCTGCTAATATATTTAAATATAATTTTTCCTTTAACCTCTTGAGTTGTTTTCATTTTTTCAGATGACATTTCCCTCATTTTTGTTAGTTTACAATTTACTCTAAAGTTCAGTTAGGAGAAACAGAGAAATGATAAACTCTAGAAATCAACATGTTTCCTTAAAAGGAAATTTCTTCTTCCAGATAATTTTTCATAGATTAGTTTGAAATTGCATCCTACAGGCTGCCATTCTTTTTACTTAAAGAAAAAAAAAAACGACCCAGCTGTTAAGATATATGTTAACTTGAATGTAGTTTAGGGGTTTCTTTAAGTATTTTATGTGTTACTGTTACTAAGAGTCAGAAAAAAAGTTGAACTTACCCTTTAATTTTTACCAGGCTCACAAATGTGTGCTGCTTAAAAGTGGCCACAATTGCAGAAAACATCTTTTAGTTTAATTGTCTTTCAATTATTCATATTCTGAAAAATAAATTAGTTTTATTATTATAATTTTAGTTATTCTCCTTGTCAGAAATGTGTGCTATGTAGAATAGTTTTTTCATTTGTTTGTTTGAAGTAACATCACTTAATTTTTCTTTTCTTTTCTTCTTTTTAAGAGAACAAGTACGATTTAATGGATTTGGGATTTTTATCTTCATTGTCTATCCTGGAGCATTTGTTGACCTCTTCACAACCCACTTGCAACTGATATCTCCAGTCCAGCAATTAAGGATATTTTGTGCAGGTAACAGTTTGTGCTTTTTTATTAAGTCTTTGCTTAGCACAGTTACCTATTCTACCAACATCATTTGTGAATCCTTGATGGAGGCTTGAAGGTTTAAGAAGAAGCAGTACAAAAGCTTCTCTTTTCCTAAAGGTGATCCTTCTGTTCTGAACCTAAATGGTGATTTCAAAAAATGATTTGATGATTACTGTCCGTACTGTGCTGTTTTCTGGAGAAGGGACATCAGTATCTAGGAGCTTAGATGAGTACCGATTTCCTCTCATGAGAAACGTTATTATATCCTACACCTGATTCAGACTAGTTGTGCATAAGAAATTCCAGTTGTGTGTTTGGGGAAAAAATGTGGTTTCCGATCTTCCTCTCTCATTAGAAGAAGTTCAGGTGCAGGAATTCCTTTGCCTTTTTTTTTTTTCCATATCGTTTGGCCTATACTGGAAAACACTCTGCCAGAAGACTGGCAGTATGAGAACATGGCTTGCTGTCAGAGGTGAACACCCTTGAGCAATTCACTACCATTTTCTGCAATAGGAACAATCTATTGTGTGATTTTTCGATAGTATTGCGAGTGGTTTTCAGCGACGTGTGAGTTAAGTTATTATACCGGTCGCTGTGTTTTCATGTTGCCATCGGGGGAAATAAAGGCTAAAACACAAACATCTAAAGAGAATCACAGCTTATGGCTCGAAATAACCTCAAACTGGTTTGGTTTGATGTTTTTTGAAGTCTCTGGCTGTCGACAGTTAGACTGAGACTGTGTTACGCTACCTGAACCACTCATATTCTTGATTCCTCGAGAATGGTGGTTCCCAAACAATTGAAATAAAAATAGAAAAGTTGGGTTAGTTCTTGATTTCTACTGGTGATTTTCTACTGCAGGGGACAGTACGATCGCAGCCAGCCTGTTGTACTGTTTAGATACTGGCACTGTTTCTTGAATATTGCAACTAAAACATTGTAAAGAGTGTTTTAGACTGGCTATACAGAAGCCTTTAGCAAGGCCTGTTTTCAAGGTTTCATAAATCAGGTAAATGATGTTAAACGTTAGGTAAGTAAATATATCTGTATTCCATGTACCCTAATGAACCAGAGTCATTCACTGAAATAGGCTAACTTTTATGAAGCTTTCTTTCTCAAATGAATCAATTTCCATTTCCAGCTACTGTGAACAGAAGTGAAAGAGAAAACATGCCAATTTTCAAAATGAGTTGCTTACCTACATTCCTGAGAAATTATCTAGAAAACTAAGATTATAAGCTATAATAGAAAATAATGCTTGCATGTTCCTGACGGCAAGCAAACACCTATAATAATTTTTCAGGTTTCTTGGGAAACCTGAAATAGGGGAACACAAGGTAGGAACAAGCATGTTGCATGACTGATAAGCATCAATGGCTTGTTATCAGTTAAGTATAAGAAATATATACATTTTTGTATAGGTAATGGTAGGTATGTTTCAGAACTAGGATGTTTGATGGTAAAATGTGATATTCAGTAAACTTGACTCAGTTCTTAATTGTCAGAACAGTTGAACCATTTCTCAGTGTTCTGAAGATCTGAGTTTACAGAGGTGTGCTCTCAGATTTTTGCATGGCAGCTAAGTAGAAAAGATAGAGAACGACACAGAATATTCCTTTTGTAGTCCACCTATACTCTGGAGATAAAAGAGTGTATTTGTTGTACAGCAGGTGGCATCATGAGTTCAAGAATAGTGAATGAGTCTTCTTGTAAGACTTGTGATATTTTTAGCATTAACTGCATGCCTAGATGAGAAATGCTTCGTGCAACACTTTCTTGTTATTAGTTCAAATATTTGTATTATTTTTTTACATACTTTTTAATACATTTTGTCTTGTCTTTAACAGAAAAACTTTAGATATTTTTAAAATGTTATTTTAAGGGTTGTGTAAAGTGTCCCTTTTAAAACAGAAGGAATTAGGTATCTAAGGATGAGGCTGTTTGAGCAAAATGAAATTGATGGTATACCCAGCAGTGTGCTTCTGCAGGTATTCTCATTTTGAACCTGTTTATTTTTCTACGGATCTCCTGGAATGAATGTGAAGCCTTTCTATTTCAGACTTCTCTGCTGCATTCCACACAGCTAACTGTGTAGATTATGATATTAAGTCCCATGTTCTCCCACCTGTTTGAAAGTATTCCTTGTCACCCTCTAGCAGTTCCATCACCTCTCTTTTATTATTTAAAGGTTTTTTTTTTTCCAGTTTAGTCTCTCCAGCAGCCTCACTGTTACAAAGGAATTCTGTTTCTCTCTCAGATATGTATCTTTTGTTAAGCTGTTAAGATGAATTAAAAAAAAAAAAAGACAAAAATGTTAAAAAAATAAAGTTAAACTACTTAATAGCTTTGGGTTTGTTGCACCTGTGTGCGTGTGCACACACACATATATTTATGTGTGTGAGATAGATTAAATGTTTCAGCATTCCGTTCTCTATCTGATTGCTTTTCAATGAGATGTGATTATAAACTATATACTTTATATATATACTTAGAG